AGGAAGCACCAAATCCCATAGCTCTGCAGGGGGGCATCCAGGCCGGGACAGCCCGCTGTGGTCCCCCCGGGCCTAAAGCCTCACTCTCGTCCTACAGCCCGGGCCCTAGGACCAGCCCACAGTCTTCGTCAGGTCCCAGCTTCTCGGCATCAAGTGAAGAATGACTTCCCGAGGACCAAGGGCCACAAGCAAGCCTGAGCCCCACTGCCCAGCTGCTGCTCCCGGAGGAGACGGCTTCTCACCACCTGCCCGGCCAGGAAACGCAGCCAGGCAGGAACACACGCCTGCTCCTTTCTGACTGACAGTGAAAGAGACGTCCCTCTGCCTCAGGTGCCCGCAGACGCCAGGGTGGCCGGACGGGGTGGGAGGTGCTGCCACGTGTGCTGGGAAAGAGGCGCAGCTCCGGGTCTGGGAAGCCTTGAGTGTTCTGCGCCGAGGAGACGGCCAGGGCCTGCGGCTGCAGAGACGAGGGCGGCCGACGGGGGCCAGGGGCCGGGGGCTGGATGCTCTCGCCCAGGCTGCAGGTTTGGAAAGAGACTCGGTGCACACTGGGCTAACGTGTATATGGCTTTTTATCGATGCTGGGGACACGAGGTGAGCGGGGAACGAGCACAGTGACCGCGGGCACAACGCGGCCCATGTCCTCCACCACCGCTCGGAATGGCCGCCCTGCTCCTCGGGATTCACAGCAAGTCCCTCAGGAATGCTAGGCGGGGCCTCCCCGCAGGGCCCCTGGCAAAGCTCAGCCAGCTGTTCACTACCCTCCCCTCCTTACCTGGACCTCAGGGGAACTAAGAACCTGTACCTTCCTTTTCAAGCCCTCTGGCTCTGAACAGATACCACGTCTTCAGACAGCGCTGCTGCACTTTGATTAAGAGAGAAGCACAGGCAGGAGGGGAAGAGAAGCCAGTGGCTGCTGGCTCCGGTCCTAGAAAGGGAGCCGGCAGCTGGGTCTCCCACCGCAAGGCCAAGGCCCGGCAGTTTCATTTTGGCCTTTCTGGGAAGCGGGTCTTCTGTATTTTTGCGGTTTGACATCACCCGTCAGCAAGGTGAGGTCGCGGGACAGTCCCCGTTCGAGTCCAACCCGTCTAGCCTGTAGCTCAGGTCTGTGGTGTCCCGGGAAGCCCCCGGCAGCAGGAGGTCCACGCCAGCACCAGGCTTTAGTCTTGGCTCTGCACAGTCCAGTCTCCCCGTCTCGCCTCCCAAACAGCCACTCCCACGCAGCGTGGGAGCTCCCCAGTCCGAGCAGGGTTCTAAGCCCTCTGCTCCCACACGGCAGCCTGTCCGCGGCCCTCCACGAGCACAGAGGATGCGCACACACGCACGGATCCCTGGCCGCTGCTTGCCTTCCGTCAGGAGTCAGGAGGTGCTGCCATCCCGCTGGTCCGGGACGCTCAGAAAACAGAAAATGCCACCACTTTCTGCCAAGAGAGCCTCCCTCGGGGTGAGGCCTAGGCGGAGCTTTGGAGGAGGAGGGTGGCGGGCATGCAGCGAGGAAGCTCCCGGGGTGACGACGGGCCAGGCTTCTCTCACCTCCGAGGGGCCCTCCTCAGCCGCCGTCAGAGGGAGGGGTCTTTAGAAAGAGGGCGAGGGCGGAGGAACGCGGGCACGGCCGCACACGGGTGGCAGGGGCGCCTCGAGGGCTGCCCGGCTGAGGCGGCGGCGGCTCGGCCGCGGCCCTACTTGTTCTTGCCTAGCAGCGCGTCCACCTCCTCCTCGGGCTTGAGCGAGTGCCACTGGGCGATGGGCCGGCGGGGGTTGGCCAGCATGTCGGACCAGTGCCGCAGCTCCGTGCCCGTGGCGCTGCTGCCCACGAAGATCTTGCCGATGGCTTCGTTCTTGCCCAGCTTGTCATAATCCAGCACGGTGACCACCACCTGGACTTTCTGCAGGGGGCAGAGGGAGGGGCAGTGGGCAGGAGAAGTGCCCGGCGGCCGGCCCCTCCCTCCCCAGCTCCAACCGGGCCGGGCACACAGAGGCGGGGCCCGCGCCTCTGACGCGTCCTTCGCGTCTACCAACGACTGAACACAGGCCCCCGGCAGCGTGCTGAGCGCCTGGGAGCAGGAGGGCAGATGCATCCTCGCGAGGTGACAAAGGTCACGCCCGAGAGGCCAGCACGAGGCGCCTCGGGGCCTCAGAGGGAGTGATGTCCGGCTGGTGAGTGAGGGCAGGCTTCACGGAGGAAGTGACCTGGACTGGGGGGTGGAGGCTGAGGCCATCCCCAGGCGGACAGGAGAGGAGAGGACCCCAGGCAGGAGAGCATCCGGCTCGGGGTGGGGAGGGGGGAGGGGGGGGGGGGAGCGCAGCCTCTCCACACGCGCGCCCTGCCACCGACCTCGAGGCCAAAAGGAGGTGTCTGTCTGTCTGTGAGCAGCTCCCGCTCACCTCCCCCGAAAAGGGGCAGGCTGGGAAGCGCCGGCGTGGCCGGCCGCCCGCCCCGCGCCCGCCCCGCGCCCGCCCCTGCCGGCCCAGCACCTGGATCTGCTCGCAGGGGATCTCGAAGCTGAAGGACTCGTTGAAGTAGGGGTTCAGGGTCTTCTTTTTCACCGTCGTCTTCTTCTTCTTGAGCCTCTTGCCGTTCTGCATCAGGTGGATCTTCACGTAGGGGTCTGCGCGGAGGCAGCCGGCGAGGCCCTGAGCACGCGCCCGCCCGCCCGCTTCCGGGCCAGGGCGGCCCCCAGAGGCTTCCCCTCTGGGCCCCGCCCTGGCTGTGGCCGCCCGGAGCTCGGAGCTCTGCTGGGACGGGCCTGCGCCGGCGCTCGGTGAGGAGCCAGGGGGCACGTCAGCGACCCACCCCATCGCATATGCTCCCGACCTTGTCGATGAGCCACGAGGCCCAGAGAAGGGCACCCGTCCGCCCGAGGTCACACGGGGGCTCAGGGACAGAGCCGGGCTGGCGGGAACCTGGGCAGTTCAGGAGGCCGGGCAGTCGCCCCCCACCCCAGCCCCGCCCCCATCTCCCCCCGGGTAGAAGGGCCCGCGTCGGGCCGAGTCCTCCCACCGCCTGCCCTCCCTGTACCTGCCTCACCTGGGGGTGACATCCCTGACCCCTTCCCTCCAGGGCCCACAGGGAGAGCAGCGGAAAGGCAGCTCTCGGCGGGGCGCCCCGCCCCGTCCTGCCCTGAGGACCCAAAGCCACTCAGACAGCCTGTGTGTCCCGCGCGTCTGAGGCCTGCTATCCAGGTCGAGAGCTCTGGGCCGCGACCGGCTGGCAGGTGCCCCCCCCCCCCCCCTGGGTCGCCCAGAGCCACGCACACACCTGAAAGGCCACCCACGTCCATCTTCTTGAGATTCTTGGCCTCCAGGATGCAGACGGTGAGCTTCCCAGCTGTGGGCACGTAGCGCAACGAGGTGCAGATGTCACCCAGCTTCTCCGGCTGTCGGGGGAAGGGGACGCGGTCAGCGCAGCAGCGCCTGTGTCCAGCACGGCTGACCCCCTCGGGGCCTCAGGCCAGGGGCGGCACAGCCCTGGCCGTGACGGGTGGACACCGCAGAGCCGAGGACAGGCTGCTGGCGGTGTGGTGCCGAGGCGGCTCCGGACGGGCGTGGGGTTTGCTGGGGCCCCTCCCCAGCCTGGCAGGCGGCGGAGGGGGATGAGGTGGGGATGCGGGGAGCCCCCCTTCCTGATCACGGCCATCCCACTTGCAGAGCGAGCTGCAGTCCTCCAAGCCCTCGGCATCCCTTTCCTTGTGTTAGCGTCACAGGGCAAGGACCTTGTGACTAGCAAGAGAGGGGGCTCCTGGGCCCGAGAGCTCAGCCGGCGCCACGGCACAGTCGAGACTTCTCAGAGGTGGGCCTCGGGGCCCGGGCCGGCCGCCTCGCCCACTGACCCTTCCTCCAGGCGACCTGAGCCCCGAGGTGAGGAAGGGCACACCTCACATGCGCGGACTCGGCCAACACGCTCGGCTGGTGCTTGGAAGGGATGGTGGGGGCTTTGGTACACGGTAGGCGCTCAATAAATATTTGGCAAACGAGTGAGTGCGTGCTGTGGCAGTTTCTAGGAAGACAGGCCTCCCTTGCTGAGAATCCTCTAGAACAATGTGGGCCCTCCCTGTGGGTGAATGAGGTCCCCAGGTGGGTCACCGGCCCTAAGTGGGCCCAGAGCCGCGGGAGAAACACGAGTGACGCCTCCTGTCCCCCCGAGGTGCCCCGCCGCGTGGCTGACCCTCGTCTGCAGACGCAGAGCCGGGGGCGTGGGGCAGGCTCGCCAGGCTCTCCCGCCCTTACCTCCTCCTTCTCTCCGCCCTGCAGGTCCCTCCACTCCTCGATGGGCTGCCCCAGGTCCACGGTGTTCATGGGCACCTTCACCTCCCCGATGATGTCGTGTTTGGAGAAGCGGTCAAAGTCGTAGATGGCCATCACCAGGGTCTTGCCCCCCAGCTCCTGGTAGGGCACCTGCAGGGCACAGGCAGGATGGAGGGGTCAGGGCAGCTCGGGGCCTCTGCAGAACGCCTGCCGAGTCTGCGGACACCGGGGCTCGGGTCCAGGCCGAGCTGGTTCTGGGCCTCAGCCACAGCCCAGGACCAGGGGAAGGTCCGCAGCGGGCCAGCCTGTCACCTTGAAGGTGAAAGTCTCATTGAAGGCGGGGTTCAGCGTCTTCCGATGGACTTTGGTCTCATATTTCTTCTTCTTGTCTGGAAGGAGGAAGACCTTGACATAAGGATCCGAGGTGCCGCCCATGTCCAGGGCGGGCAGCTCCGCGGCCTGCAGGACGCCCACGGTGAGCTGTGGAGTGAGTGGGCACCGGGTCAGCCCCGAGGGGGCGGGCGGGTGCCGGACAGGAAGTCGGCCTCCACCTCCCTCCCCAGGGAATCGCAGTAACACGGGGCAGACAGGCGCCGCGAGGTGCCTGGTCTGCCCGAGGAGGGCGGCACGTGGACGGCGGGCAGGCTGAGCGCAGCCCCTCTTCCCTAGAGCCGGGGTGCCCGCCCCGTGGCGGCCTGGGGGCCGCCGCCGCCCCCGCCCCGCGCACCTGGTTGGCCTGGAACTCGTAGTCCAGGGAGAACTGCAGCTTCCCCAGGTTCTCCGGCTCCTCGCCCTCGCCCTCGCCCTCGCCCTCGCCCTCCGTCAGGCCCGTCTCGGCGTCGTCATCGTCCTGGGGGGCTGAGGAGGGGAGGGAGGGTCAAGGAAGAGAAGGCGGGGAGCCCACCCCCGTGCAGACCCCGACCCAGAGCTGGGGGGCTCCGTCGGGCCCCGCTTCCCCTCAGCCCCCAGCCCGGCGCTGCCCCTGCGGGGCCAGCACGGCCCAGACGCCCCGCGGCTTCTTGAGTGGTGGGGCCTCCCTGTGACCCCCCGCCCCCCGCCGGCGCAGGCCACCACGTGGGCAGCACGTACCAGGCGTGCAGGCCGGGCGTCCAGGCCGGGCGAGTCCACAGGTGGGCGGAGAAGGGGGAGAGCGGTAAGAAAATCCTGCAGCTCAGACCAGCCGCACGGCAGGGCCGGGGCCCCCACAGGCGCACACGCACGTACGCACGTGCGCACGTGCACGCGCAGACTCAAAGGCCACGGCCCCTGGCTGACCTCCTGAGATCAAGCCTCCTTCCTCCCTCCACACTGAGTCCTTGGGCGAGAAACTCCTCCCAGAACAAACATGGGGAAAGTGGGGCGCCCGGGGCCTCTGCAAACTTAAATGGAGACACAGGCACGTCAGGGCCTCTTCCAGGCTCCCCGGAAGATGGGGAGAAGACCCACGTCCTTGTGGACGAGAGACGGGCCCGCGGGGCCCCACACGAGGACGTGGTCCAGCAGCCCCGCCGGCGGGAAGCCGGGTCACACGATGGTGGCTTCCTGGCGGGCGGGGGGCTCTCTTCCCAGCATTTTGTCCCAGCGGCCTCCGTCCGGGCCAGTCAAGGACAGTCCCTGCCCACGCGAGCGAGCCGCGCCCCCGGAGAGCATCGAGGGGCCTCGGGCCCCCGGCCCGCGCCTACCTGGCCGCGCTTCACGTCCTTCATGCTCACGGCGTCCTTGGCGCCCTTGCCCTTCTCCTTCTTGCTCTTCTTCTTCTTCCAGCAGCACTTCTTGCAGATGCAGAAGCAGCAGGCGAGCAGCAGAAGGCCCAGGAGCACCGCGATGGCGCCCAGCGCCCAGCGGGGCACTGCCCACGGGGAGACGGGGTCAGCGGCGCTCGGTCGGGCCCGGCCCCGCCGCCGCACCCCGCGTTGTAAACCCACGTTCAGTTGCACGCTTCGGTGCCCTCCCCTTTCTGCCGCCCAGCGGGGACAGCCTGTGACAGGGACAGCAGCCAGGCGCACACCACGGGGCCCCCATCTGGGCTCTGCTGAGATCTGACAACTTTGACCCTTGGAACTGCGGCTCACACGAAGGATGGGAGGGTCCTCATCAGACCCCGGTGGGGTAGGAAGGCCCGGCCCTCAGGCGCAGTCCTGAGAGGGCTGAGCCTGCGCCAGGAGGCCGGGCTCAGAGGGACCGCGGGTTTGGGGAAGTGCGCGGAGGGGCGGGCCGCGGGCCGGCCGTGGCTGCTCTCCGAGGTGCTGAAGCACCTCCTCCCACCAGTGGGGCTGCTCCCCGAATCCGGACCTCGGGTTTCTCCCCACAGCCTTTACCAGAAATCCAGGAAGCAGTAGGGGGTTTTATTTTCTATCTTGCAAAATAAAGTAGTGTTAAAGTATGACTGGAAAACTTGAATAATGAGTTCTGTTTCATAATTTTTTATCTTCTTTTGGTTCCATCTTTTATGACAGATTTCTAAGTATAAGAACGTTTATCCCCCCGGGAGGTTAGGGCACATAAAAACCCCCTTGTTCCCTTCATTAGTGCCAGACCACACTGCCCCCCATTCCTGAAGGGGATCCCCAAATAATCCAGCCCCAAGTCCAAACATTAGGAAAGATCACAGCTGTCACACCCCCATGGTGCCCCCCCACCCTCGCCCCCAAGCTGCATACAGGGATACTCACGAGGGAACTTGACCATCTCATTGAAGAATCGGTCCTTCAACGTGGCAAACAGGTCCCCCTTGCCCTCCCTGGCGCCTCCGCTCTCGGTGGAGTTGTCCAGGGGCCCAGCGGGCATGGTGGTGGTGGTGGGAGCCACCATGGGCTCCTGGTTCCTCTTGAAGATGTTCCTCATGGTGGCAGAGGGACGGCTACGGGTGAAGGGGACAGGATGAGCATCCCACGGGCCCGAGTGTAGACGGCTCTGCCCACGGGCCAGGAGAGGCTCTTCCAAAAGCTAAAGACTCTTTATGAATAAAGGCCATTACAACAAACCCACAGCAAACATCATTCTCAATGGTGAAAAAATTAAAGCATTTCCTCTAAGATCAGGAACGAGACAAGGATGTCCACTCTCACCACTATTATTCAACATAGTTTTGGAAGTCCTAGCCACGGCAATCAGAGAAGAAAAAGAAATAAAAGGAATCCAAATCGGAAAAGAGGAAGCAGAACTGTCACTGTTTGCAGGTGACATGATACCATACGTAGAGAATCCTAAAGATGCCACCAGAAAACTACTAGAGCTCGATGAATTTGGTAAAGTAGCAGCATACAAAACTAATACACAGAAATCTCTTGCATTCCTATATACTAACAATGAAAGATCAGAAAGAGAAATCAAGGAGACAATCCTATTTACCACAGCACCAAAAAGAATTAAATACCTAGGAATAAACCTACCTAAGGAGGCAAAAGATCTGTACTCAGAAAACTGTAAGACACTGATGAAAGAAATCAAAGATGACACAAATGGGTGGAGAGATATACCATGTTCTTGGATGGGAAGAATCAATATTGTCAAAATGACCATACTACCCAAAGCAATCTACAGATTCAATGCAATCCCATTCAAATTACCAATAGCGCTGTTCGCAGAAATAGAACAAAAAATTTCACAATTTGTGTGGAAACACAAAAGACCCCGAATAGCCAAAGCAATCTTGAGAAAGAAAAACGGAGCTGGAGGAATCAGGCTCCCTTACTTCAGACTATACTACAAAGCTATAGTAATCAAGACAGTATGGTACTGGCACAAAAACAGAAATACAGATCAATGGAACAGAATAGAGAACCCAGAAATAAACCCACACACCTGTGGTAAATCTATGACAAAGGAGGCAAGAATATACAAGGAGAAAAGACAGTCTCTTCAATAAGTGGTGCTGGGAAAACTGGACAGCTACACGTAAAAGAATGAAATTAGAACATTCTCTAACACCATACACAAAAATAAACTCAAAATGGATTAAAGACCTAAATGTAAGACTGGGTACTATAAAACTCTCAGCGGAAAACATAGGCAGAACTCTCTTTGACATAAATCGCAGCAATGTATTTTTTGATCCACCTCCTAGAGGAATGAAAATAAAAATAAACAAATGGGACCTAATTAAACTTTAAAGCTTTTGCCCAGCAAAGGGAAACTATAAACAAAACAAAAAGACAACCCACAGAATGGGAGAAAATATTTGCAAATGAAGCAACCAACAAGGGATTAATCTCCAAAATATACAAACACCTCACACAGCTCAATATCAAAAAAACAAAAAAACAAATAACCCAATCAAAACATGAGGTTAAGATCTAAATAGACATTTCTCCAAAGGCATACAGATGGCCAACAAACACATGAAAAGATGTTCAACATCACTAATTATTAGAGAAATGCAAATCAAAACTACAATGAGCTATCACCTCAAACAGGTCAGAATGGCCATCATCAAGAACTCTACAAACAATAATGCTGGAGAGGGTGTTGAGAGAAGGGAACCCTCCTACACTGCTGGTGGGAATGTCAATTGATACAGCCACTACGGAGAACAGTATGGAGGTTCCTTAAAAAACTAAAAATAGAACTACGATATGACCCAGCAATCCCACTACTGGGCATATACCTGGAGAAAATCATAATTTGAAAAGATACATGCACCCCAATGTTCACTGCAGCACTGTTTACAATAGCCAGGACATGGAAGCAACCTAAATGTCCATCAACAGATGAATGGATAAAGAAAATGTGGTACAGATATACAATGGAATATTACTCAGCCATAAAAAAAAACCAAAATAATGCCATTCACAGCAACATGGATGGACCTAGAGATTGTCATACTGAGTGAAGCCAGACAGAGAAAGACAAGTTTCATATGATATCACTTATATGTGGACTCTTAAAAAATGGTACAAATGAACTTATTTACAGAAACAGAAATAGAGTCACAAATGTAGAAAACGAACTTATGGTTAATAGGGTGGGGGGGGGTGGGATGAATTGGGAGATTGTGATTGATATATATACGCTACTATATATAAAATAGATAACTAATAATAACCTACTGCACCGCACAGGGAACTCTGCTCAATACTCTGTAATGACCTATATGGGAGAAGAATCTGAAAAGAGCGGGTTATGTATGTTTATAACAGATTCACTCTGCTGTACAGCAGAAACTAACACAACATTGTAAGTCAACTATACTCCAATAAAAATTAATTTTAGAAAAAAGACTGTATTAGCTGGGACTTCCCTGGTGGCGCAGTGGTTAAGAACCCGCCTGCCAATGCAGGGGACACGGGTTCGAGCCCTGGTCTGGGAAGATCCCACATGCCACGGAGCAACTAAGC